GCCCGCCCGCCCGGGCGCTTCTCCAGCCCTGCTCCGAGAGGAAACGCCGCGCCAGGCGGGGAAGATGGACGCGTCTCGTGGCCAACCGCGGCCGGGCCCTACGCTCGGCGAAGCCGGCCGCCGGTGGGCGGCGCCCCCGCGCTCCCAGAGCACTCTGACCCGCGGGTGGACCCTGGGTGGAGCGCTTCTGAGAATCCAGCAAGTCCCGAGTCGGAGGGCTCGCTGGCGACAGAAGGAGCTGTTGGACACGAGTGGGGAAACCGAGGGAGACCTCTAAACGGCCTCTATTAAAAATCAAAGAAGACGGGCAAAGTTCTTCAGTCGTAGTGGAGAAACGTGCCCGCTGTTGAGCGATCTATTATCCCTGTCCTAGAAGTAGATCATTATTCTCCAGCAAAAGGGGCTGGTCGGCTTGAACTGCAGACTTTCCAGGGATAGCCAAGCACTTAGAGACCGTTCCACCAGGGAGCAGCCTTTAGGCAGAATTTCTTTACCTTAAAGCAGAATGTCTTTCTCCCACGGAGCAGCTGGCAGATTCAAGCTGCCAGCAGCCCAGCTCATTAACCATTGCACTACCAGGGTGCCTTTCTCAGAAAAAAGCCCAAACCAGATTTCAACTCAGAGCAACGCTACAAGATAGAGTAGAACTGCTCTCGATGGGAAGTCTTTGTGGGAGCAGACTCCTCAGCTTTCTCACTTGCAGCAGCTGGTGGGTTCAACCTATCACCTTGTAGTTCACAGCCCACATATAACCCACCACCCACCAGGGCTTCCTAGATTTCTGATAAACTGAAACCGAACGCACTGCCACAGAGTCCATTCCAATTCATAGCAACTCCATAGGAAAGGGTCCAACTGCCCCTATGGGTTTCTGAGATTGTGATTCTTTACGGGAGTAGAAAGCCTCATCTCTCTCCCACAGAGATGCTGGTGGCTTTGAACTGCTGCTCTTGTGGATTGAGCAGCTCAATACATTGCCCACTATAGTTAAGTGAAAAAAAATCATTTATATGTGTACTCATCTAATAATGTGTGCATACTTTTTTATTATGCAGTTGTAAATCTTTAACTTTTTAACAATTCTTTTCACTTTGTATCAAAAGAATAGAAGATAAGGAGAAAGACCAAAAATCCTTTTTTAAAAAAAAGTTGCCTTCTCTGGCTTCCCTATTGCCAGGAGGCAGGAATCAGATAGGCCTCAACACTCCATCCTTCTCTACCTATTCTGACACCAATCCTTCTTCCCACACCACTCTACATCTATGCTGGGTTCAATAATTCCTTGGAATGGCCACACAGAACTCGCAGGCAACACTCACAATTAAGGGAGTTTATTATGGAAGTTAATAGGTTACCACAAGTTGGGATCAGCACAGAGTAAAGATATAGTCATTGGTTGCCTCTGTCAGCAGCCACGTCTCTCTACAGTTCTCAGCCTCTCAGCCATGTGGTAGCCACATTCTTAGTCTCTTAGCCACTTGGTCCCTGGGCCTTTGCCTCCAATGGCCCAGAAGCCAGCGAGTCTGCCACTCTGTCCCACAGGTCTCAGGCCAGATAAGGAGAAGGTCTCTCAGTCTCCTCTGAGATTGCTCCTCTGAGCCTCCGGGCCACAGTCTGTAATACACCTGGTCGCAGCACCCTTACCACTTCTGACAGGACTCGTGAACACACTCTTCCACGGGGTTTCTCTCCTCTCTACTGATACTTCAAAGAGGGCTCATCTTTCTTGCGGGGGTGGGGGTGGGGTGGCGTGGGGGGGTCGGGGGTGGGGTAGGGTGGTGGTGGTAACAAAATCTGACCAATCCCTTCTATTCATGTTGCACATGCCCCCGTTGTATAGTCCTACCCAATCCTTTGATGAAAGTTAGAAAGACTTGGGTCTCAAAAACCGCCCACTGCCCAGGTAGAACTGCCCTGTGGGTTTCTGAGACTGTAACTGTTTGGGAAAAAGGAAAGTCCCCATTTTCTCCCTTTGAACAGCTGGTGGTTTCAAACTGTTGACCTTTTGATTCGCAGCCCAACTCATAGCCCCTGTACTACCAGGGATCCTAAAATGGAAGAACCATTTTAAGAAATTTAACTCCATCACGCTACTATCATCGCAGTTTTAAAACTCTTGGACAAAAATAATTTAAAATCAGAGGCAATATACTACCTTTGATTTCATATTTCTATAAGGTCAACAGTTAATGAATTTTATTGAATGCTAATTTTTGGTTAATATTAATATGCTACTATTTTATTGTGGATGAATGGTCACTCTGCAGTACACTAAGCACTTTATAGTTATTTCTGCATGGGTTGTAACTCATTGTAACGAAACCCCACATCCTTATACTTGGACCAATATACACATCATCCTGATAAACGGAGAAACGTTTGAAGTTGTTGAGGATTTTGTCTTGGTTGGATCCACAATCAACGCTCATGGAAACAGCAGTCAAGAAATCAAACTATGGGTTGCATTGGGCAAATCTGCTGCAGAAGCCCTCATCAAAGCTTGGAAGGGCTGGGTGTCTTTATGAGGACTAAGTTGCATCTGACCGACACCAGGGCATTTCAGGCACCTCCGGTGAAAGCCGAACAGCTACTAAGGAAGGCCACGCAAGAACGGATGCAGTTTAACTCTGGTGCTGGGGAAGAATACTGAAAGTACTTTGGACTGCCTGAAGAACAAAGAATCTGTCTTGAGAGATGTACCGCCAGCATGATCCTTAGCAGGAAGAGAGCTTGACAGGACTCTGAGGTGTCACACACTCGAGCAAGTTATCAGGAGAGGCCAGTCCCTGGAGAAGGACATCATGCTTGTTAAAGAGAAAGACGGCCCTCAAAGAGATGGGTCGACACAGTGAGCTCAAACCGAACAATAACGGTGCGGATGTCCCAGGACCAGGCGGTGTTCTGTGGTACATCGGGTTGCTGGGAGTCTAAACCAACCCAAAGGCACCAGACACACGAGCATTCTCTATACATTCTTGTTAGAATCCTGCACGGCGGCCACGATTGTCTCCATTTTACAGAGTCTCATTAAGGTTCAGTACGTTACCAAAAGCCTGGCTGAGCTAGAGTTCCAGCCCATCTCCACCTGCGTCTAAAGTGAGTGTCTTTTCCCTTCATCCATCTGCCTCTATGACTATCTGGTTCTTTTCAGCTTCGCACAGGCGCCCTGTCGAGTGGGTTAAGCACTGGTGGTTTGGATCCACTATCTGCTCTGAGCTGGGGGGAGAAAGATGAGGTAATCGCGTCCATAAAGAGTTACCGCCTGTGGCGCAATCTACCCTCTGTCCCACACAGCTACTATGAGTCAGAGTGGACTTGGTGGCAGCGGTTAACAGTATTAAAAAGGACATTAGACTTGGGAAGCAGGCTCAAACATAGCAAAATGTGGATATTTGATTTATGGTTTTCAATTGGTGGTGGATCTCCTTTGCTTTGCATTTTGCAGCCAGCCATTCCGTGTGATGAATCAATTATTCTTTTTATAGTTTGCTTTTTCTGTTGTCATTATCTTCCCCTCATTGAAGAGGTCACTTTGGCGCACAGGGAGTATCCTGGTGGCGTGGTGGGCTAAACATTGGACTGCTAATTGAAAGTCAGTGGTTGAAGCCACCGGCCATTCTGGAAGAGAGAGAAGAGTTCATCTGCTCCCTTAAGATTTATAGTCTCCAACCTCCTCTATCCTATAGAGACCATAGGGTCACCCGGAGCCAGAGTTGACTGCATGGCAATGGCCTGGTTGGGTTTGCACCCCAAAAGTGAGTGTGGAGAATGCCTGTGATTAAAGTCCACAGGGCTGGGGTGACCTAGGTGTGGGAAGTGGACCACCAAGCTTCGCTCCGTGACTTTGTGACCGTGTGGCAGCTGTTTCCTTCCATGTGAAACAAGATGGCTGTCCGTGAAAGGTACTAGATTAGGGACAAAATGGGGTTGTCTTCCCCAAATGCCTGTACTAGCAGAAATTGCCTGGCAAGGCCACCTACAGAGGGGTTGGAAAGAAATCAGGCAACCATTGGACACC